GGGGTTGGAGGGCAAAAACTTCCCGGGTGGAGAACCACTGGTTTATTGCAAGGCAGGGCAGTGCTGTCCTGGTCTTACTCCACGGGTTTTAGAAACCTTGACGTGCAAGTTATGGGCTGGCTTTCTGTCTTCAGCCTCTGTCAAGGTTCAGAAGGGTCAAAATCATCAGAACGTAGTTGAGTGCACGTCTCAGGTGTTTTACCTGTAGAACCTGGCAGTACCGCCTTCCTCCCAGGGCTGTACAGGTTCAATATTGAACACAGTACCAGTATGTGTGGGCATGCGTGGTGGTGTCACTGTCCGGACCAACTGGCTCTGTGTTCAGGTTGTGAGGTGCGCTTCTGCCTTCCTGTTAGACCTTGCAGAAACTTAATCTCCCAGCCCTGTACGCCACAAATGCAGATGATTTCTACCCGATGGGCTCTGAGCCTCTGCTTGGACATCCCAGCACAGACGTACCCCCAACACCCAGGGAAGCTCAGCCCCTATTGGGCCCCCCTCCCCACCGTGCCCCCTCCTCCACCCTAGCCTTCCTGTCCCCTGCATCTAGCCCCCGTGGACTCAGCAGCAGCAGGCAGGTGGTGATGACTGACAAGCAGGATAGAATGGAGCTGAGCACCAGGGTGCACCAAACGCCCCTGCCAGGCCCTTGGGTTCTCACAGAGTGTCAGGCAAGCTAGGGGCCAGGATGGCTGAGCATGAGAGGCCCTTCAGGAAGGGGCAGGCCAGGCTGGTTCCTGCTCTTCCTTCCTTCCACTCCACCTCCTCACAAACCCTTCTGCTTTTGCTTTTCTCTCCAGGAAAACTAGAAGCTGAGCACATACTGGCCAGTGCACCAACTGACAGGAACCTCTGTCACTTCCAGGTGAGCTGGGCCCCAGCTCTTCTGAGTTGAGGCTTTTCTGGGGGGCTCATGGTGGCTCTTGGCCCCTGTCCCTCTGAGACAGTTCTTGGGACCAGGGAAGTGCTGCTCATTTAGCTAAACTTTTGAGACGGGCTGGGCTGGGCTGGGGAAGGGGAGGTCAAAGACCAGAAGGAAAGTCAAGGTTGGGGAAGGCTAAGGCAGAGTGAAGGGTGTGTGTGTGTGTGTGTGTGCGCGCGCACTCATGTAAATGCACGTGTGTACACGTGTGTTGGGGGGCAGAGATGGTTGTGGGCACTCACTGGGGTCAGAGGGCACAAGGAAGTGCTGACATCAGGGGTCCTGTGAGGTGCAGGGTTGGTCCTGAGCAAGAATGGATGGTCTGGGTGAGTCTCGGGCTTTGGAAGTGGGGGTGGTGCAGGCATTTGCAATGGGAGAGACCCATGGGGACCCCTGGGAATGCAGAGTGGCCTCCAGCAGGAAGGGCCATGGTCTGGGAGGCTGTCCCATTTACCCCAGCCCTGATCCCACTGTCCCCACTGCAGGCTCTGGGCTGCCGGACCACCCACTCCAACCAGGAGGTTCTGCAGAACTGCTTGCTGGTCTTCTTTGCTACCAAGCCTCATGTCCTGCCCACTGTCCTGGCCGAGGTGGCCCCTGTGGTAACCACTAAGCACATCTTGGTGTCTGTGGCTGCTGGGGTCTCTCTGAGCACCCTGGAAGAGGTGAGTTGCCTGTGGGGGTTATGTGGGAGCTGAGGCTCTGACCTCAGAGTCCATTCTGCTGGTCAGAACTTCCCACCCTTTGCCATCCCAGACTGGTGCCAGCCTGGGTTTAGCCCTTTAGGAAGGTGGGATGGGTGAAACCTGGGACAGACAGCCTCCCAGACCAACCCCAGCCCAAAGAGGGGGCCAGGTGACCCAGGGGGCTGGGGCTTAGGTTCCTGCTGGCACCCCAGCCAGGACGCAGGGGAGGGAGCCCACAGCTGGCTGAGGCCTGGGTCTGCCTGACGGGGCCAGTCCCACAGGATCCCTGACTCCAGCTTCTCTCTGACCAGCTGCTGCCCCCGAGCACACGGGTGCTGCGGGTCTCAGCCAACCTGCCCTGCGTGGTTCAGGAGGGGGCCATGGCGATGGCACGGGGCCGCCACGCCGGAAGCAGCGAGGCCAAGCTCCTGCAGACCCTGCTGGAGGCCTGCGGGCAGTGCGAGGAGGTACCTGAGGCCCACGTGGACATCCACACTGGCCTCAGTGGCAGCGGAGTGGCCTTCGTGAGTGTCATCTCATCCCCCACCCCCGGGTCAGCCCTTGGCAAAGCGGAGACTTCTCAAGTCCCTGCAGTGACCCCAGCCTTTGGGATTCGATGACTTGGTTCCCGGGCTGCCTGTGAGCTCTACTCTCTGCTACGTCGTTGCCTTCCTGGGCCTTTGTGCAGTCAGACCCCTGGGCTCAAGCCTCAGCCCTAGTTCCTGCACTGGTGGCCAGTGCTCTGGGCCATGTTCCTGAAGGTTCCGAGCTTTCTCCAGACCGGGTGCTACGTGCAGGAGAGTGTTGGCTTTGACAGTCTCCACCCTGCTCTGCTACAGGTGTGTGCCTTCTCCGAGGCCCTGGCCGAAGGTGCCATCAAGATGGGCATGCCGGGTGGCCTGGCCCACCGCATTGCCGCTCAGACCCTGCTGGTGAGTGAGGGCAGCCCCCGCGGGGTCGTGTGAAAAGGGATGGGCTGCTATGTCTCCCGGGAGCAGCGGGAAGGGGGACAGCAGGTCCAAGAAGCCCGGACGAAGATCTGGGATGGGGGTCGGGGGTGGACCCATGACGAAGCAGGCTACGTGGGGCTGAGCTGGAGAACGGGCTGCCCGCTTCCCTTGAGTCACCCCCAGGGCCCCTCTCCCCAGGGAACAGCTAAGATGTTACAGCAGAAGGGGCAGCACCCAGCTCAGCTGCGGACAGACGTGTGCACGCCGGGCGGCACCACCATCTACGGGCTGCACGCCCTGGAGCAGGGTGGGCTTCGGGCCGCCACCATGAGTGCCGTGGAGGCCGCCACCTCCCGGGCCAGGGAGCTCGGTGGGAAGTAGGGAACAGGCAGGGGCTGTGGGCTGCCCCCAGTCCCTCCTTCCTTGCCCCTTCCCCAGGACTGCAGCTCCCCCACCACGCAGGAGCCTCCTGGCTGCCCCCCGATCTCCACACGAGGAAATGAGAAGGGACAAGACAGGAAGGTTTCGCAGGCAGGGGAGCCCCTCACCATGGGAACCTCCCCACCCCCCCACCCCCCCCCCACCGCAGGGCAGAAGGCACCATGGCAGTGGCCCGCCGTCAGGTCTGGGGACGTGCTGGCCAGGTGCCCCGTGTGCTTAGCTGGTGGGTTGAGGGCAGGAGCAGGGCTGCTGCTGGAGCAGCTGGGTAGGCCCTTCCGACAGCTTTCTGACTGCAGCCAGCTTGGGGGCGGGGGCGGGGGGGCACCCAGACACTGCACAAGAGACCGGCTCCCCCTCAGTGAAGCCAGCACTGGTAGGCCCCCACATCGGTCTTGTCCTCGGGTTGACCTGCCACGGCGGTGGGCGTCACCCGCAGGGAGCTAGCCCCTGCGAAAACAACGGGGCTGGCTGCCCTTTGCTCTTTGCCTGGCTCAGGAGGAGCTGCACCGGGTCCTTCCCTTGGGGAGCCCCCACGAACAGAGCCCTGGGCGGATGGGCCGCAGTGCTGATCAGCAGCAGGCCAGTGCAGGGAGGCTGGGCCTAGCCGGCTGCAGAACAGGGACTTGGCTTCAGCTGGGTGTGGGCCCCCTCCCCCAGCTAAGCTCCTGGCAAGTGGCAGGTGGAACCGGCCCTGATGACCGTTCCCTGGGTTGTCCTGGAGGGTCTCCTGGCCTGGCCTCTGACTGCAGGACATGGCTCTTCGGCACATCCCTGGCCAGGAAAGCCAGGAACTTGGGTCCCACACCAAGGCCATGGGGCCTTTGGGTGGAGGATGGGCTGCCTGCCTCTTTCCCCGACGCTGCCCCTGAGACTCCTGGAGCCTCCCCACCCCACGAAGGCCCCGGAGTGCTGGAGCTCCCCTCACTTCCACCCGGTGGCCTACTGAGACTGGGCCAGCCACAAAGTGGAGCAAGCTGCCTCCAGTTTACCAGCTGAGACTTGAAGCAAATCAGCCCTATCTGTACGTGGCTGATAGCACCCCCACAGCAGTGCTCCCCCCGCTCACGCTCCCGTCCTCCATCCCCAGCCTTCGGCCTGTCCTCCCACACACATCCCCAGACCTGCTGCCCCCCTCCCCGCGTGGTCCTTCCTTGGCCAACTGGCCCTTCCACCGGTCAGAAAGGTCCGCCCGAGGCCATTTCCACACCTGACTGATCTGAGAGATGGGAATAAAGGCACCGTCTGCTAGCACCGAGTGACTGATATCTAGGCTGATAAAGCAGACTGCAAGGGCCTGGAAGTACATCTGAGCTGAGGCTTGAGACCTGGGAGCAGGTGGTGTGGGGGCAGAGGTCACCCACACCTTGGCTGTATAGCACCAGCATCTGAAAGCTCTGATGGGTACAGTCTTTGGCTTCCTCCCTAGCCCAACCGCATCCTCCAGTGTATGTTGGTGGGTTCAGCGATGCGTCTTCCCACCCAGTCTCCGAGAACCTGGGCGGGTTGGCTTGTGGGGCGGAAGACGCACCTCTGGCCAGCCCTGCCGTGAGCGGCCACTCGCGGAATGAGAGGCGCCTCAGTGAGCCCCCGGCCCAGCTGGAACGGCAGCCGTGCCCCAGGGAGTGGTGGGCCTGGACAGGACAGGAGTGGTGAGAGTGGCTTTGGGGGCCAGGGCTACAGCATGACCATCGGCCAGACACTCACCTTCTAGCCCAACACTCAGGTTACTTTGTCAAGAGACCGGGGGAGAGAATTTCCCTTTTCATCTGTGGTTTATATCTTCCTTACATTTTCAAATTATGAGGTGTTCTAGATCTAAGCATTGGGTCAAAAATTACAAAATTAAGACTTCAGAAGTACCTGGTTGGCTGAGGCACTAGAGCATGAAACTTGGTCCTCGGGGTCATGAGTTCAACCCCACGTTTGGTGTAGAGATTATTTAAATAAGAATATCTGCCAAAATTCAAAAAAATATATTAAAATAAGACTTTAGAACAGGGATGCATATGAAATTGACATGAACCTTTATTATAAAGCACGTTGGGCCTACCTGACTGGGTGAATTCCTCCCTCAAGGATGGGTGTGAAAAGGCCCCTCAACAGAGCATGCATCCCAAAAGCCCATGGTCCTCAAGGACACGCCCCTGGAGTCAAGGCTAGCCTGTGGGCACCCTTATCTGGGCACAAACAGCGCCCAGCCCCCCTCCCGGGCTCCCCGCGGCAATCCTGACTCGCTGGGCTGGGACCCGGGCTGGGGTCCCTGGAGGGCACACTCTTCCCTTCACCACATGCCGACATGGTGCCCTGCAGCCCCCCGGCTGTCTGGGGGTGGCTTCCCAGGCATGTAGCCCCCTTGGGCAAGGCTGTGCCTCTCAGACAGCTCCCTCTGAGGGTCGTAGCTTAGTCTCATCCCCACAGAACATGCAGGTCAAGGGCGGTTTTAGCAGAACCTGCACACCGGCTTGTCTTCATCCACATGTCTCCCCTCCGCAGCCCACTGCCAAGCCCACTGGATGCCCTAACGATGATCCTGACCAAGAGCCACTTTTGGGAAGAGCAGCAAGCTTTGCTGCTGTGAGTGTTCAACCATTCTGCAGAGAGAGACTCTGGGGTCCCAAGTGCACCCTTGCCCAGTGCCCATGGGGGCCCTGAGGTCTGCCTCTCCAGACTCCCCCAGGGGCACGCCTGGCAGAGCAGAGGCCAGGGCCTCCCAGCCCTAGGTCCCTGAGTTGCCATCGGATGTTACAAAAGGGAAGACTTCCTGAAGCCCCATGCCAGCTGCTTGGGTTAGAGTCCCAGGGCCAGCCACAGACGGCAGCCACAGACGACCAGAGGCGCCTGCAGGGGCACAGGCTGGAGACAGCTAGTGAGTGGACGGGCCAGAGGGGCCCCAGCTGGGGGCCCCTGCTCCCAAATTCTTCACACCTTCCCTCAGCTTTCAGATTTGAGATACATGGATGTGACACACACACACTCTGACCTGGGACAGTTCCACGGAACAACTTATGTTCTCAGACTTGTGGGGAAGCTGCTCTGGGGGCTCCCTCCAGCTGCCTCAGCAGTGCGTGGCCACCCCCTCCCATGGACACACCGTGTGCCTGCAGCCGCCTGGCTACTGCTGGAGGATGTGGGGCAGGTGGGGGTGAAGGGAGGACGGAGGCAGGCAGCACTCAGACCTGGCCCCCGCCTCTCACAAGCGCTCTGGGCAGCACCTCCCCCAAGGCCGTCCCTCGGAGGCCCGGGCACCGCCGGACTCTGAACCTAGAGCTGGCCAGTGACACATGAACCCTTTCCTCCTCCTCTCAAACGGAGCCACTCAGAAGCCCAGTCCCTGGGGCTACGGGAAGCAGCTTCCTAGCCATACCCTTGGCAGTGCCAGGAGTTCCAATGGAGGAGCACTAAGGCACTGTAGGATTGTCCCCGTATGGCTGTCAGTATCGCAGGCCCGCTCCGGGTAGATGGCGTGGCTCTGGGCCTGGTTGCTGGTCCAGGGAGCTTGCTCAGTCATTGGCCAAGTCACCAGGGGCCCAAGTCTAGAAGGCTGCTAACCCCATAGAATAAGAGAGCAGTTTGGGAATGGAATTTTCTTAAGGAAAACTAACAATCCCAGTAGAACAGAAATCTACACTTGCTGCTGCATCTGGAACCTCAGGATCCCCAATTGCCGGGCACCACCCTCCCTTCCCAGCCTCTATAGAGCCAACCTCCAAGAGCAGCCCCAGGCTGGGGAATGAGACACCACCCTGGGCCCCAGGCAGGGTATCTGTAAAAACGGACTCCGCATGGAGATCTCCGCATGGAGATCTCCGCATGGAGA